AACTTTGGTCCACTCTTCTATGACTCTTTTACTTTTCTTTGGCATCCTTACTCTCTAAAGATTTGCTTCCGCTTTGCACAGCAGAGGTAGAAGAACACTGGCTCTGGTATATGTGCAGTTCTGCTGTGACTGCCATAGCCCACAAAGACCATTGTTGCCACTATACATATCTGGATGTTCTACGTAGAGGGTATCAAGTTGCGATCCTGAGGGTATTCTTCCCGATAGATTGTTGTGTGACAGGTTCAAGTAGCTCAGATATGATATGTTCGACAGGCTAGGCGGTATCTCTCCCGAGAACTTGTCACTTGAGAGGTCCAGCGATTCCAACGATTGCATGAACCCAATCTCATGTGGAATTCTCCCATTCAAGCAATTCCTTGACAAATTTAGATTCTTCAAAAGTTTAAGAGAAGTTATTTCCTCTGGAATTCCACCAGTTAAGTAGTTCGATGACAGGTCAATGCTCACCATGCTGGAAAATGCAAGAAGACCATAATAAAGTTCTTGGTCCTTTGTGGTCACAGGTAACAAACTTAGGGATCCATCAAAGTACCAATCTTGATCACCAGAGTCATCGTTCTTACCATTTCCTGCCATCGCCATCAAATTTGACAAATGACAAGGTATAGCTCCTGATAAACCATTGCCTGCTAGATTCAAACTGTAAAGTTTTCCAAGGTTGGTAATGGTGAATGGAATGTTCCCATAGAACAAATTATTGCTTAGCCTGATATATCGCAATTCCATCAAGTCCCCAATCCAGATAGGTAATCTCCCAGTGAATTTGTTCCCTGATAGATCTAGGAGCCCCAGCTGTGTGCAGCCTTGCAGAAAAGATGGGAACGTGCCAGAGAGACTGTTGTTAGCTAAAATAAGAGCAGTCATTTCTGACAGCCTGTTGAGGAATGAAAACTGTGAGATTGTCCCAGGGCATTGAGGAAATTCTCCTTGCAAACGGTTGTTGGCTAGATCTAAGATGATTAGCTCCTGCAATCCGCAAATAGAACCTGGGATATGACGAGAGAAGTTGTTGGAAGAAAGGTGCACCCAGCGGAGACTTGGAGCACCAAAGTTTGATGGCAGAGGTCCTGACAGTGAGTTATGTGAGAGGTCCAGGAGCGTGAGGTTTATTGGCAACCGAGGTATTGGACCGGTCAGTTGGTTTGAACCTAAACGGAGTCTTTTCAGCGACATGATCTCCATGTTTGCTGGCAATCCACCACTGATGGAATTATTAGAGATGTCCAGATATGTCACCTTTGAAAATGCTGTAGAAAACCAATAGGGAAACTGACCAGCTATTCCTGTGCTCGAAATGTCAATCTTGTCAATATCAGGCAGCCGTTGCATCCATGGAGGAAATTGAGGACCCATGTGACAATATGCAAGATATGCCTCTTGTAGTCTAATGAAGGGAGGTAACCACTCAGGACCTACTGCAATTTCCAATTGATTATCAGATAAGTCTATCATTCTTAAGTCGTGCAGTCCAGCAAAATGTTCCTCTGTGATGGCACCATGCAAGTTATTGGAGCCAAGTTCCATCACGGTCAAGTTTGTCAGCATACTGATCTCAAGAGGAAGGAGTCCGGTTATTTTGTTGTTTTGGAGTTGGAGGGTAACTAAGTTGATAAATAGGCTCATCCCAGTTGGTAGGGTTCCGTTGATAAAGTTATCTGCCAGGTTGAGTTGCTATATTTTCTTGTGTGATGAACAATTCTGCTGCAAGCTCTCAAGGAACTCTGTCATGTTCCCAGACGCAAGGGATAGCTCTAGGTTCAGGATTTCTAAACTGCACAGGTTTCTCAGCAAGTACGTGGCACCGTGACGGAATTTCTAAACCCTGAAAAATCTAGGACTTGGAGGGATGTCATGGCTGCTAGAACATCAGGGATTCGACCGGATAAAATAGCACCAACGCTCAGGTACTTGAGGCTTGTCATCAAACCCCAAAACCAACAAGATGCCACCGTATGATTAAACAGGTTGAGAGAGAGATCGAGCCTCTCAAGTTTGGTGAGGTTAAGGTGCGGGAGCGACTGGTTTGCACTTGCAAGCTCGCATTCAGAAAGAGCAAGGACCCTGGGTGAGGGAGCATGTTCACGGCATGAGCCCAGTGATATGCTGTGCTGAGGTTTACGGACCCAAGTCAAGGTACCGTAACCGCGGCAGATGTGCTATCCATGATATATCTGAGGTGTGCATGCCAGTGTTGGAGAGGTTGAGATACTGAAGGTTGGAAAGATTACCGAGCTGAGGAGGCACCATACCGTTGAGCGCATTCCTGCTGAGATCGAGATGCTCCTGGTGTCGCAGAGAGAACAGAGGAGCTGGTACCTGGCCTTCAAGGAATGCTCCACCCGAGCACTGGAATATTGGGTCATCGTAGGAGGCCGAGCCAGTACCAAGGATGTCATCATCAGATTCGCCCAAATCGCAGGGGGCAGTCGGGGCTCCGAGATAGAGCCCGACCACATGGCCGGTGACGTTGCTGCACCGGACCCCTCCCCAGCGGCAGCAGTCACGATCTTGTTCCCGCCACGACACCAGGCGAGAGGAACGTTCCCCAGCGGCAGCGGTCACGTTCCTCTCGTTCAAGCGAGCCATCACAGGCCACGGGGTCGCCTGTGACGGCTCGCTTGAACGCCAGCAGCGCGTTCCTCTCGCTCGGTATGCAGCTCGCGGCAGCGAGGCTGTTGTTTGTCTGGTTGGGTCGATGGTGCGGTGCACTTGCACGGGCGACGAGGAAGAAGCTGCAGCCGGCGGCGGAGGCGACAAACAGCAGCAGCAATTTATTCATTGCTGACGAGCGATGCTTCATGGCGCGCGTTGCGCGCAGCATCAAACTCCCTATTTGGCTATTTCGGCAACGAGCCATGAGCATGCGAGAATGCCATGTCCTTTTCTTTTCTGCTTATAAAGTAGGAGTCCTCCACTAATAATAGTAGTATACAAGTAAGCGTCAAAGCCATCAGTCGACGGTCGTCGATCGATTGCGGCTAGTGGATCAGCCACAATTGCAGTTTGTGCTCTGCTGCCAATTGTGCTCTCCGTGCCCGTTAGAGCAAGGCCAATAAGCTTGGCTTTAAGCCAAGCCAGGTAAACAACAAGCAAATCTAACAGACAAGCTGTACAATTGACTAGTCTCTTGTATAAAACATATTTTTTTTAATTGTACGGGGTTCACCTTTCCCCAATCCCTCGTACTCTCCTCCGTCTTCTTCATCCGAGGGGAAGAAGCAGAGGCGCTCGACGGAGCCTTCTCATCGCCTCATGCGCAGGGCTGGAGGGCACATGGCCGTCGGCACGGCGGAGCAGGATCGCAGCCACCCGCGTACACAGAGGTGGAGGGCGCGCGGCCGCCGGCGTGGGTGCGCGGAGTTGAAGGGTGTGCCGCCAGTGGCGGAGCGTGAACCAGAGTCAAGGGGGGGCCGAATCGCAAAGGCACAAGCCAAGGAGCCAATATGTGATGAGAAACTCACGCCTGTAGGGAGCAACGGCCGGGCAAGTTCGGTGGCGCCAGCAATGCCAGCTAGTATCATAGTAGTGTCTAGCAAAGCTAAACAATTTATGAATTAACGCCTTGTTTAGTTGGACCTCAAAGTTCAAAAAGTTGCTACAGTACCTATCATATCGAATGTTTGCGGCCCGTGCATGGAGCATTAAAGATAGACGAAAATAAAAACTAATTGCATAGTTTGGTGGAAAATTGCGAGACGAACGTTTTGAGCATAATTAGTCCATGTTTGAACACTATTTGCCAAATAAAAACGAACGTGCTACAGTAGCCCCAAAATCCAAATTCACCCAACTAAACCAGGGCTAACAAAATACGAGAGTAAGACATCTCATTCTATTCCAACCGTGTTGCACTATACTTTCATGTCTAAGATGGAAAGTCAAATCATAAATGAGGTACTACTACTTTCATGTCTAAGATGGAAAGTCAAATCATAAATGAGAATGGACAAAACACTAGCTGCAGTCTTCTGCCTAGCACTCCTCTCCAGTTCAGCAGGTGGCAAACATGAAACATGTGGTGTTTAGAAAAAATTTCAAACCAAGGGGGCCCCGACGCCCAGTATCGCCTCCAAGAGTGTGACTCCTGTGTGTGCCGCCGCTGACGCGTGAGTCCGGCGGCCGGGGTCGCCTGCGTGCATGCACTTAGCTGAAGAGCGCGCGGCTGCGTCCGCGGTCGCCTGCGTGCGTGCTTGCACGGAGCTGATGAAGGGTGTGCGTGTGCGGCTGCGGCTGCGGCGCGGACGACAGCGGCCGGGGTGCGGACAGCAGCTGCTGCGCAAACGACGGCGACGGGGCGCGGACAGCGGCCGGGGTGCGGACGACGGCGAACACCGCGAGCACGACCTTGCGCGACGGCGGTGGACGCGGCGAGGACGATGGCGGCGGGCGCGGCGTAGACGACCTGCGAAGCCGGCGGCGAGGTACGAGCGCATCGCTGCGACGCGGTTGAACGAGTCACGAGAGCCTGGTGGTGGCGGGCCCCACAAACCATGGGGAATCGCGCAAGCGCTCGGCGGTGGAAGTTGCGACAAGCTGCTTCTCTCTCCTCTTTTCTCTTTCCTCCACGTAGGATAGGTGTATTACTGTACCTGCTCTTAGACGTCTTGGAACTGAAACCTATCTCCAAAGCAGCAAGTAGAACTGAATGATCACCTATCAAGTTCATGACATCCCCATCTTCTGGCTTTTTGTTATTGTTGGTTTTAACCAAATTTAAACCAAATAAACCAACAAAATGTTTCCTCTCTCACAATAAACCGTGGACTTAAAGAAAAGCAAACCAAATTTCGAAACCGACCAAATGAACATACCGAATGACTATACGTGATGCCTTCGTCCTGACTTGAACTAAGGGAATAGTGCCATCTCACGACTAACGAGCATCCAGATGTAAAACCACGATACCGAGTATGAGAGGTGGAAGGGGAGTCAAGGAAGCATAACTCAGGGTTGCTGCCTACTCGGCGTCCCCCTCATCAAAATTGAAAGTAATCACTAGTCAATGACACACTTAAGTTTCTGGCCTTCATTGGCCAAGACACGCCTTCAGTCTCTGGACTTTCACCTAAGAGGGAGGAGTTCATCTCACAGGCATCCTTCAAGATTTCAAATCGCCGATCACGCTCATTACCACTGCTATTGGAATCCTGTGTGATGCCTTGCAGAACGAAGCTCTTCAGCATAGCTTGCTGTACAGAATTCAACAGATACTCTGGACAGGTGAAGCTTATACGTCGAAGGAATTGCAGAGTCCCAAGCATTCAAAGAAACATGAGCGAGCAATTACCTCATGATGCCGCTTCTGTGCATAGCACCGGATAAGCGATTTGACCAGCTTGTTTCGCAGCGTCTTGCCAGAATCGCTGGACTGGAAGACAAAGCCTGAAAGGTGATGCTTTGCCAATGTGAAGGCCATGGAATCACGCTGTAAAACTTTGTCAAGGACACCAGACGTCCATGATTTAGCATAAGATTCCAAAACTTTTTCATCATCCTGCACAAGTATTGTAAAAAACTGAGTGAGACTATGTTCTTTGAACATGGAGAGGCAGCCAACTACAGAAGTTAATCATACTAAATGATGGTATGGAAATCATACATATAAAAACCAAAATAAATGTCAGCAAAATAGTATAAATCTTGCACTGTCTACTGCATATTGTAGGCTGTGCAATAGACAAAGACAAACAGAGTACAAAGGTCAAGTTCCAAAATAAATCATTCACATAGTTACTCTTACTCCATGAAAAAGGTTCTCTGGAACAGAAATGCAAAATAAATTAAAGAAAATGTACCTCAAGAGGCTCCAAGTATCCTTGGGCGTTGCCAATGCATTTGTCTAGCGGGGGTAACAGGTTAAGCACATACGCATTAGACAGTGCATTCCATGCTGCAAGCCGTACTGCTGGCTCAACCTTTCTATGCAGATAAATGGCCACTTGCCGACCAAAAACAAAATCTCCATATGAGACAGCTGCAAATTGATCAACTAGGTTCTCAACAAAAGTAGTGTAGCTTCCATGAATTTTCTCCTGGAACCTGAGAATTTCGAGGCTACTGATCTCCATTGCTAGAATTTCTGGCATAACCTGTTCAGATGCTGTCCATACAATTCCTGTAAAGCACAGAAAATATCCCTACTTCTGTCTTCTTGTAGCAAATACATGCTAGAGCGGATAGAGACCGAAAGTGCATGAATTTTACAGATCAAAGGAGCATGAAGGCACAGGGTAGCTGAAATGGCCTCCAGACCTAAAAGGAAGATAAGACCAGCCCTTGACATATCAAGAATATAGTTGGCTGATGTTGAGAGCGTGCCTTTTGGATCATTAATGCAGCAAACTGCGCTTAGAATCCATTGGATAGGACGAGGCAGTCTCTGATGCGCCCACTCTACCACTAATGTGTTGCAAGGTTGATTTACAGCTTCTGTCAATTCTGTTTCTTCTTGAATTGTCTCCAATGTCTCTGGTGTTTTTGAAATCTTAGTGCTGCTATTATTTCCTGCGTATTTATCTGAATGCTTCTTCTTGACGGCTAACCATCTGGATCTGAAATGTGAATTGAGAACACTGCTGAAGAGCAGATATCCATCTTCATTTATGTCCCATTCAAAAGGTTTCAGTAATTCCATCTCAGAGGCAAATTTGTGTATAGATGATTTGAGATACTTCAGAATGGAAGGTTCAAAAATCATATCAAAAGCTTTCTCCAACATATAGATTTGTCCAGGTCCGGCAATCAAAGACAACCCTAGGGAAGAACTGATCCAATTTGAAGCTGTCACAACTGTGTTAGTCACATTATCTGACTTCACACCTTCATCGAGGATGACAGGACTTCCTTGAACTGAAGAGAAACATTTGATCAATTCTACAACCAATTGCGAATCCAATTGTGCAAGTAGGCATTTAAGAGACCAAAACCCTCCACAACATGCCCCCAGCCAAACCCAACACCAGGAGCTGGTCCTCCTCTACCAAACATCTCTATGTTCTGTGATATGGACCATTGTGATGAAATCATTGGCAATAGCGAAGTCAGCAAGTGTAGCAAATCATTATGCCATAAACTGGAGATACCTTCTCCTAGTAGCTTGCCAGCTACACCTGTTCCGGACTCATTGAAACACTCAGAACAACTTTTTTTTGGCTCCCTGGATCACTCTGTCAACAGACCAGGATAGCTGCACTAATCTTTGAAGGCAGCTTATGGAAGACAATGATACATCAACATTACCATGGCATCTCATATAACGTAGTCCCTGCACCAAAGACGCGCAACAAAAAGACTGATGCTCTGCATTTCTAACAGCAACAGTGCTCGAGCAGCTGAAAAATCCATTACTAATTATGCCCAGGCCAATTTTGGGGACAAAATCAGGTATCCAGGGCAAGCTGTAACTTTTATCCTCAGGAGTGACATCTGGTGATATTCTTTCCAAAATTGAATTAAGCATGCCTAGCACAGAAGCAATCACCAAAATCAAATAGCTTGCCTCTACCATGTGCTTTGTATTCCTATTCTGCCCGCTGATTAGTGAACTTACATAGGGAATATCATTAAGATGTAACCAAGATAATGCTAAGTCTACCATCGGGACAACATGGCTCCAAGAACATGTCTCAATATAACTGGCAGAAACTCCCAGATCTTGATTGGCAAGCTGCTCCACTGAATGAAGGAGCGGTAACCTTTGTGCCAGAGCTGCTAAGACAAGATATGACTCTCTAGCAACAGAACTAAACTCAACAAGAACATTGTGTTCACTTAGTTTCTCAAACTCAGGAGGACTGAGCCACAGACACAAAACAGGAAAGAAATCAGCAAAGTGAGCTATACAAAACCCATAAGAGATGCAGGTTCTCCAAAACCACAGCTGCTCAACCATCATTGCTGAACTAAGCTTGCATTTTTCCTTTCCAGATCTTACCCAGTCCTCAATAGTACCAGCTTTTCTGTACCAGTGCCACAATGCCTGCTGAAAAACTCCATGGTTCACAAAATTCAAGCAAGTTTGCCTGTTGTATTTGGACAAAACCTGATCAAAACAGAATATGTGGCTTTAGATGCTGAAAAGAAGTCCTGTTTGGCAGAAAAACAAGGGAAGCCGCGCATGTTTTCTAGAATATGAGTCGATTGCACTAGCTTTCAAGATGCTGTATTTTCAAAGTATAATATTACTGGAACATAGAAGTGAATATGCAAGCTATAAAATATCAAAACACATAAATTAGTATGTGTGGGTACATAAAATGTGGAGGGCAGTGTGATTGAGGGAGACAAGGAACGCATCATGAACTAGAAAGGAAACAATTCATGAAACATCTATACCATATGGCAATCGATGTGAACTATTAATGCACTTGCATACAAAGAAAATCATTTGAGCTCAACTAATAATTCAGACGAGTGCCACACATTACTGGGAATATTATAACACATCTCCCGGTCAGTAAAGTACGCAAGGATGACCAAGAGAAGCACCTGTCTAATAATAATCTCACCTACAGGAATTATTCAGCATCAAGCCATCAACATGCGTGCAATATGTCAATCAATGATGCCAACTATCTATCACGATAACTCTATAACACAGGGGTGTCAAAAGAACCAAAAAATTATCTTCAAGAGAGTAACCCCTTTGATTTGTGAGGAGCGAATTTCCATTGATCCTTGATTTATCATCAGTTTAGTAACACTTTGAATAAGTCTGGGGCAATTCAAGATTGCATCAGCAGAATGTGGGGAGTGCCTGGCTAGTGCTACAAGAACCAATACAAGATAATCTTCTAAAGCAGGAGATGGGTCCATCTGAATCAATGGAAAAGAAAAGGTTCAGTTTAACACCCTTAGTGATTACAATCACTCTTTGAAAGAAAAGAACAAAATTATTAGCAAAAAAAATAAATGAGTCAACTAGGCATTAGCTGATACAGGGCTCACTAAAAATGTGCAAGTGCAATGCACATGCACTATACCTGGTGGAACAAATATCATGACCGAGTTCAAAGGAACAGCACAGAAGCCAGGGGATACATTCAAAATTATAGGCAGATGTTGGATAAAAGATATGATAAACTAATAGGTACGTCCAATTAAAATTTTATGGCAATTATTAAGAAAAAATGGCAGGAACTCCAAGCATAAATTAAGAGGAATAGAAATGTCCTAGATACTAGCCCCACAGGATGAGGCAAGCAACAACACAAAAGCTCTACTTGAGTGAGTAATTGATAGCGAGTCATAATTATAGGACACCTAGCACCACAATATGTTCCAAGGAATCCCAATTTCCAAGGTTAGTGCTAAAAATTCAGAAGCTAATCATAGTTATTTTATTACACTTTCACTAGCAACAGATATTGACATGGTGTGACCAAAGCAAATGGTATTTGCTGGTGAGGACCAGGTGGTCCAATAGCAGCATTGAACATGATAAAACAGTCGAACTTTCAAACAGCCTCTGATATCATTCAATAAACCTGAATTGATCCTTACTTGTCAGTGCCACGTTGGTGGGGTGGTATTTTCAAAGAAACGACAACAAATCAAATAAGAATAAAAGGACAAAAACTGACCTCCAACAGAAAACAGATTCGTGGAAGTATCCCCATCCTAACAAAACCAGCAGAAACATCTTGGCCAGACACAACAACATCATCCTGAATTGTATTGCTTGTCATCAGCTTCGTCCTCATCATTGTCACCATAATGTGGGAGTATATTGTCATGTGGGGCCGAACCTATGCCAGGCGCCACAGGGCACGGGACGTGCGCCGAGCCGGCGAACGCGCCGCGGCGCGCGCGCAGAGCGCGTCCAGGGAGCCACAGGGCCAAGTCAACAATAGTGGCTAGAATTAGGCATAATAAGATTAGTTTCTATTTTAAGTTAGTTGCTATTTCTGTTCCTAAGATTGAGGAGATTTGTTACTCCCGTAGTCAGTCGGGGCCGCCGCCATATAGATCGTATGTCGAGAGATTGAGAATAGGCAAGCAATCGGTTCAAAACAAACCTCTCTCTCCCTTGCATTTCCTAAGCCTGCGGCAGAGGGGCAAAACCTCGCCGGAGAAGACGGATCGCGACTACGAACTGCGTAGTCGAGGTCGTACTATCCTTGGGTTTGACGCCCTTGACAACCTGGTATCACGTTCCTCTCGATCCTCTACTCCACGCGACGCTGCCGCGCCGTCGACGTCAGTTGACAACGCCGCCACCACCGCCGCCGCCGTCCCAGACACCAACTCCACCACATCCTACCAAGCCGCTGCCATGGAGGACGATCTCAAGTCCACCCTGGAGACCCTCGCCAAGACCCTGGCCTCCCTGCAATCTTCATCCGACGCCACGACCAAGGCGATCGAGGCCAACACGCAGGCCATCGCGGCCCTGTCCGTTGCTCGGACTACCGAGAAGCCTTCCACGGAATCATCGGGACACCCGCACCGGATCGGCCGCCCTAACCGCGCCGGAGTTTCCCAAGTACGATGGCAAGACCGATCCGCTCGCCTTCATCAATCGATGCGAGTCATTCTTCATCCATCAACACGTCATCCCGGCGGAACGCACGTGGATGGCTTCGTACAATCTGCAGGACGGCGCGCAACTGTGGTACATGCACGTCCAGGACAACGAGGGTACGCCGACGTGGGAGCGTTTCAAGGAACTCCTCAACCTCCGCTTCGGGCCCCCGCTCCGCTCCGTGCCGCTATTCGAGCTCTCGGCGTGCCGCCGCACGAGCACCGTGGAAGACTACCAAGATCGGTTCCAGGCCCTGCTTCCCCGCGCCGGTCGTCTCGAGGAAGCCCAAAGCAGTACAAACTGTTTCACCGGGGCCTCTCTCCCGCCGCTCAGCCTCCAGTCCAGCAGCAGAAGCCGGCATCCCTGGAAGAGGCCATGAGTCTCGCCCGCCAGTTCGAGCTCATGGAGCCCTACCTGTTCCCGGCCACGACATCCGCTCGCGGCGTACTCCCGACGCCGGCCCCCCGGCCATCGACCGGCCCCGTCGTCAAGCTTTCAAGACCGCCACCGTCCACCGTCGAGGGTCGCCTTGGTCAGCGGCTCTCCAGCCCAAGCAGAGGAGGCGCCCGGGTCCGTAAGTGCTACAATCGTGATGAGAAATACAACCGCTCCCACAACAAGGTATGCAAACGGTTGTTTTTGTGGAGGGTGGTGCAAATCGGCGACGCGCACGGTGGAGATGACACCGACGCAGGCGATCGTCCGAGGCGCCCGTGTTCTCCTTGCACGCGGTGGCTGGCATTCCGGTGGGCAACCCGATCCTGCTCCAAGTGACGCTCGGTGCCGCCTCCCTCGTCGCCCTGGTGGACACGGGCTCCACCCACAACTTCATCGGTGAGGACGCCGCGCTCCGCACCGGCCTGCCCGTCCAGCCGCGTCCACGGCTCACTGCGACGGTGGCGAACGGGGAGAAGGTTTCCTGTCCGGGTGTGCTGCGGCGGGCACCGATCACCATCCAGGGCATGGCGTTCGACGTCGACCTTTACGTCATGCCCCTCGCCGGCTACGACATGGTGCTGGGCACTCAGTGGATGGCCCACCTGGGCACCACCATCGCCTGGGACGTGACCACGGGGACCGTGTCCTTCCAACATCAAGGGCGCACCGTCTCGTGGCAGAGCTTACCCCCGCATCAGCGCGCCGATGTCCACGCCGTCAGCACCGGGACGAGCCTCGTTGCGGCCACCGGGTCCTCCTCCAGCACTCCGGCGTCCACGACGGAGCCTGCCCTCCTCGACGGCCTCCTGGGCTCCTTCGACGACGTCTTCGCCGAGCCACGGGGCCTGCCACCACCACGGGGCCGCGACCACGCCATCCACCTCCTGCCAGGCGCCCCGCCCGTCGCCGTGCGTCCCTACCGCTACCCGGTGGCGCACAAGGATGAACTTGAGCGGCAGTGTGCCGTCATGATGGAGCAGGGCCTCATTCGCCGGAGCAAGTCGGCGTTCTCGTCCCCCGTCCTGTTGGTCAAAAAAGCCGACGGCTCGTGGCGCTTCTGCGTCGACTACAGGGCCCTCAACGCCATCACCGTCAAGGACGCCTACCCGATCCCGGTGGTGGACGAGCTGCTGGACGAGCTGCACGGCGCCAAGTTCTTCACCAAGCTTGATCTGCGCTCGGGCTATCATCAAGTCCGGATGCGGGCTGAAGACGTCGCCAAGACGGCGTTCCGGACGCACGATGGTCTCTACGAGTTCTTGGTCATGCCATTCGGGCTGTGCAACGCCCCGGCGACGTTCCAAGCACTAATGAACGACATCCTCCGCATATATCTTCGCCGTTTTGTCCTTGTGTTTTTTGACGATATTCTCATCTACAGCAACACCTGGGCAGACCATCTGAGGCACATCCGGGCGGTGCTCCTCCTGCTGCGTCAGCATCGCCTGTTCGTCAAGCGCTCAAAGTGCGCTTTCGGCGTCAGCTCCATCTCCTACCTGGGCCACATCATCGGCGCGACGGGCGTGTCCATGGACCCGGCCAAGGTGCAGTAGCGTCGTGGGCCGCCGCAACCGCTGTTTCGCCCGCGCCGTCCCGGGGCTTCACGGGCTCGCGGGCTACTACCGCAAGTTCGCCCACGACTTACGGGACCATCGCCGCCTCACCGCTGGCCGACCAAGAAGGAGGGGTTCCGGTGGTCCGACGAGGCGGCACGATCGCGTTCCACGCCTCAAGCACGCCGTCACCACGGCCCCGCTTACGGCGCTACCCGACTTCGCCAAGCCATTCGTCGTCGAGTCGACGCCTCTCGCATGGGTTCGGGCGCGTACTCTGCGCAGACAAGCACCGGCCGGCGTTTTTCACCGCCCTGTCGCGCCACGCGCCACCGCGCGCCGCTTCTGAGCGGGAGTTGATCGGCCTCGTCCTCGCCATCCGCCACTGGCGGCCGTATCTGTGGGGGCGTACGTTCGTGGTGAGGACGGACCACTACAGCCTCAAGTACTGCTCGATCAACGCCTGGCGACCATCCCCCAACACCATTGGGTGGGCAAGCTCCTCGGCTTCGACTTCCGGGTGGAGTACAAGTCGGGCGCCTCAACGTGGTGGCGATGCCTTCTCGCGCGCGACACGACAGACGAGGGTGCCGTCTTGGCACCGTCGGCGCCACGGTTCGACTACATCGAGCGGTTGCGGGCAGCCCAGACCACGGAGCTTGCTCTCGTGGCCATCCGCGACGCCATCCAGGCCGGCACCGCCAATACCCGTGGCGCTTCCATGACGGGATGGTGATGTTCGACTCCCGGCTATACATTCCGCCATCGTCACCATTGCTCCACGAGATCCTGGCGGCAATCCACAACGACGGACATGAAGGCGTGCAGCGTACCACGCATTAAGCCGCGCGATTTCCACTCTCCGCCGCATGCGCCGGTGGTTCAGAGTTCGTCCGGCGCGTGCGACACATGCCAGCGCAACAAGTCTGAGCATTTGCACCCGGGCGGCCTGCTTCTTCCCCTGCCGGTTCCAACTACGGTGTGGGCCGACATTGGCCTCGACTTCGTGGAAGCTCGGCCCCGTGTGGGTGGGAGAAGACAGTGATCCTCACTGTCGTCGACCGGTTCAGCAAGTACTGTCATTTCATCCCTTTGGCTCACCCCTGCAAATTGAATCGCGGCTCAGCGTTCTCACGCGGACATTGTCGCCTCCACGGCATACCCCACCCATGGTGTCGGACCGGGATCCGGTGTTCACGCCATCCTTCTGGCGCGAGTTGATGCGGCTGACCGGTACAAAGATGCACATGACGACGGCCTTCCACCCACAATCTGATGGCCAGACGGAGGCCGCCAACAAGGTCATCGTCATGTACCTGCGGTGCTTCACCGGCGACCGACCTCGGCAGTGGGTTCGGTGGCTCCCGTGGGCGGAATACATCTACAATACCGCCTATCAGACATCTCTCCGCGACACGCCGTTCCGGGTGGTATACGGGCGCGACCCGCCGATCATCAGGTCCTACGAGCCCGGCGAGACGCGCGTGGCGGCCGTCGCTCGCTCCATGGCGGACCGTGACGAGTTCTGGCGGCGACGGCGCTACCAGAGCGAGCCCAGCGACGCACAAGAAGTACTACGACGACAAAGGCCACCGTGCGGGTGTCCCTACGAGGTGGGCGACCTCGTTCTCCTGCGCCTCCGTCACCGCGCCCCGGCATCGCTGCCCCAAGTGTCCAAGGGCAAGCTCAAGCCCCGCTACTTCGGGCCCTACCGCGTCGTCGAGGTGATCAACCCCGTCGCCGTCCGCCTCGAGCTCCCGCCTCGCGCCAAGCTCCACGACGTGTTCCACGTAGGCCTCCTCAGGAAGTTCGTGGGAGCTGCGCCACCATCGCCTCCCAAGATCGCCTGCGTCCACCACGGTGCCATTGAGCCCGAGCCAGCAGCGCGTCACCCGTTCTCGGCTAGCTCGGGCGTTCGCCAGTTCTCGTCCACTCGAAGGGGAATCGGTCACGCCCACATGGGAAGACCGACACCTTCAAGGAGCGCACGGCGTTCCAGCTCGAGGACGAGCTGGCTCTCGAGGAGGGGAGAGATGTCATGTGGGGCCGAACCTATGCCAGGCGCCACAGGGCACGGGACGTGCGCCGAGCCGGGCGCGCATGCACAAGGCCCACAAGCAGAAGCGCTGTCCCAGGAGCCACAGGCCAAGTCAACAATAGTGGCTAGAATTAGGCATAATAAGATTAGTTTCTATTTTAAGTTAGTTGCTATTTCTGCTCCTAAGATTGAGGAGATTTGTTACTCCCAGTGGTCAGGGGTCACCCGCCATATAGGCTGTAATCGAGATTGAGAATAGGCAAGCAATCAGTTCCAAACAAACCTCTCTCTCCCTTGCATTTCCTAAGCCTGCGGCAGAGGGGCAAAACCTCGCCGGAGAAGACGGATCGCGACTACGAACTGCGTAGTCGAGGTCGTGCTATCCTTGGGTTTGACGCCTTTGACATATATTTGATGGTTTTGTGTTGTATTTCCAAAACCCACCTTCAAGAAAGCCTCCATCTAGGTCAGGTTTGCTACGAAACACAGGAGCTGTGCAGATTTCTTTTCCATTACCTACTTTCTGCAAGTATAACAATGACAAAATGAGGCTCAAACTAGCAACAAAAAATAGAGTAGAACCTCCCAGAAAAGACAAAGTTACCTCTGAAAATTCAAAATAGGATTCATTGAACTCACAGCTCAGCATGACATTAACTACTTTAGCACAACTCAGAACTACAGAATCATGGTTATCATCCAAAGCCATCCTGCAAATGCTCCAGTTAGTAACAGAAAGTGCAAAGTAGAAAATAGGAAAGAAAAGAAACTGGCATCACTAGGTCCCAAATGCAAATAGTTACCTTTGGGTCAAACAAAAAGAATGCAACCATGTATTTTAGATAACAAGGTGGGATGCACACGCAAACACCAACACACATGCCACCTTTAAAATACAAAGCTAAGGGGCAACACAAATATGAGAGGTCCATGATTGTTTTTACATGTTTACTACTGATCAAACTATTCAAATATTCCATTTATGGTTCTCTTCATTTATACGCATCGTAAATCTGAATGCATAACATTACTCCGTGCATGTAACAAGGAAGCACTGAATCCAATAAATAAGGAACAACGTTTACATCACAAGGTCACATAGCACAAACACTCGGTAGAGATAGCATGCCGCACCGGCCAATAGATAGGGGTAAAGAGTAGAAGCCATGCAATAGCTCCACTCTTTTCCTAAAAAGGGCGTACCCAGTGCGGAGGCTCCCACATGAGTGGGGTCTGGGAAGGGAAAACCGAGGCAAGCCTTCTCCCATAAAATCTGCGAAGAGGTCGCTTGAACCCGCGACCTGGTGACTCAAAGGAGACAGCTCTCTCACCATCAAGCACCAGGCCCGCCCTTCACTCTTTTCCTCGGAAGATAAAATTGTGAAGCTAACTCCCAAGAAAATGGGTCTGCATTGATAACAAAGGGGTATTTAAGAAAGGTATTTTTACCTTAGGAGAGTACCAACTCTAGTTCAGGCCCAAGGGCATAGGACCAAATTGCTTGCCAGTCATCGAATTTTTCATTAGAATGCATTCCTTTAACATTATCCGTTAGATCAATCTTATGAAGATTCTGCAATGCCCTATTCAGAATAGAAGCAAGAAGTTGCAATTGCAAGCACACGCTGCCCCGGAACCTACAATTTGAGTAAGCTGAATTATATCACATGTCTTGATGTTGCAACTTTTAAAAATTAAAACTATATTTTAACAAATGATGTAAAAATGCATAGCAAAATTTGCTCGTAGATACTCTTGGCATGTGTCTTTTGCTATAGACCACCAAAAATATTTGGCTTTGCCGTAAGACACTGTAAATAGATGCAAATTTGCTGGGAGACTATGTCTTTATATTCAGTTTTAATCCATAGCCATGGGAATTGACAATTTGCCCCTGCCCCTTTAATCCTCACGAGAGAACAGATCGGCTATCGTTCTTTCCCCACGGCAGCCGCGCGGGAGGTCTGTTCCAGTGGCGGCTGCGGGCGGCGTGGCGGTCCCTCCCGGCGGCGTATTCTCCCGGCGGGGGCGTCGGAGGCCCCTCCCACGGCAGCGATCTTACTTCCTGGTGGCGCGGCACTTCCTCCCAGCGGCATCGGCGGCAAAGGCCGGTGCTGGCTGCAGAGGTTCCCCCCAATGGCACATCCAAGCGGGGCTGCGGTCCCTCCCGGCGGGGGAATCCCACAGGTTCTTCAGCGAGATTTTCTCGCAGGACCATGCTGATTTTTCATGGGTTCCCGATGGGTAAGTCTTCTGCTATTTTCCCGATGGAATGATTTGCTAGGTGGTATTAGTACAGAAATTAAGCTAGGCGCTATGCGCAAGTTGTGTGTCACCTATTTGGGACAATCTGAGATTCTGAGTCATAGCTATGAAGAAATTACATCTGACCATGAACCGCTTCATGCAATTGATATGTACTGGGACATAAGAAGGCTCTCAGTGCAAGTACGTGTGATGAGAAATGACAAATCTGATTTCATGGATGATGTTGGTCGGCAGCAGTGCATGCCTTGTGTGTTGCAGGGGGACAGTAATGCCGAAGCAATTCTGATTTTGTTTCCATTTGACGCAGATAAAAAAGATACCTCACGAACACCCTTGTCAAAGCACCGGAAAAGTCGAGAAGACCAAAATGGCAACAAATCACTGGGTCAAGGATAGGATATTGGAATTGGAACTTGAAGACACTATAGAGTCTGTTGCATCTCCAGCATTATCTCCAGTTGTCCATGAGAAGGGAAAAGCGAAGAAGTCGAAGGTCGTCAGGTCCAAGAAGAAATAATGACCTTGTAATGTGTGATTTAGTAGTGTACTTGATAGCCTGTTGTGGCTAAACCTGTTTATTGTGCCTTTTGTATTATTTTGCTGAAACATGACGTGCACAGTAAATTATGTAGCTGAAACGTACACTTCTATTGGTGAATGGAAGGGCAGGGGCAAACTTGTCCATATATTATGTGTTATATGACATGTTTGGTTGTGAAATATCATTATAAGGGCTGTAGTGTCTTGTAGCAAATTACATCATATTTGTAATGGCTTCTAGCAAAGCCATCTTTTTTTAGTGGTCTGTGGCAAAAGCCAGGTTCCAAGAGTGTCCAGGAGCCAATTTTGCCAAAATGCATTCTTTGAAACCTGAGGCAATGACGGTTACTATTTACTACGCTCGCCGTGGCACTCCTATGTTGACACAGAAGTATAAAATAGACTAGAACATTGAACTTGACAGATAACCAGTTCAATAGCTAATGCTCTACACAAACCAAATTTGTGAAAAAAACTCATTACCTCGCCTAACAACTTGACAGAAATCACTCCCTCCTTTCTCAGTGTTCATTACAAACACACACTAGGAAGTCACTCCCTCTATCTTCAATGTTTATCACGGACACTAGGAAATCACTCCTATCTCAGTGTTTTATCACAAACACACACTAGGAAATCACTCCCTCTCTCTCTCTCACCATTTTATCATATATACAGGAAAATCACTCCCTCTCTCTCTCTCACCATTTTTTTCATATATATAGCTCATACACCTGCCCATGATATCCTCCTAATTACTGCAGTCATAACTCCTATGATTGTCTTATTCTCCTTGACTACTATCTGAAATTCTGCTAGACACAATGAACCTGGACACATGCATGGGGACACACAGGCTAACACACCTTTAGACGTCATACTGCGACATAAGCATGGAATATACATGATACAAATTAAGAATTAAAGGCCTTTTTTCACCTGAACAACGTATATTCCTTGGGATCCACAAATCAAGAAATGAAAAAATAACCAATCCTTGAAATAAATATAAGTAAAATATGTACCCCACAAAATAGTGCACAATACAAAGGCTACAAGAACTCAAGAAGTAATACATATTTTATTCCATGCTGGAAATCCTGAGCCTATTTCACATCACTAGGATAGAGAGTGGAAATTATAGTAGCAATCACGCTTTTAATTTTCTTATTGAGAAGACATTTTTGGAATAACCCTTCCCAAGTAAATGGTTGGATGCAGTGGAGAAAGTCAAGAAAGATTTGAACTCGCTAATTGTCCAAAGAGCTTGGATGCTGTGGAAACATCATAATGACTGTGTCTGTGTGTTTAATGGAGCCAATCTCAGCATTCAGCTTGTGATTAGAAACATCCTTGAGGCCCATCTTTGGCGCCTTGCTGGCACTAAGGGGTTATCACATCTGGAGGTAGTCGCCAGGTAGTTGGCTAGATAGTGTTCAGGTCGGCTCATGTTTTTTATGTAACTGAAGCGATTCTAACTAAGAGTGACTGGTGTGTGGGTGTGGCATGTGTTGTGTGCACATTGTATTCTGGGTTTTCTTCTTAATGCAATGATAGGCAGCTCTCCTTCGTATTCGACAGAAAAAAAAACCCTCCCAAGTAAATGGACAAATAATATTAGAAACAGAGGGTGTATAAAAAACAAACCATGCTCCTGGTAAGTGCCACTGCCTCCTTGATTGTGTACCCAACAGCTGCAGGATCTCCTTCTGTTCTAAGGAAATCACGCTCAGCAACACTTTCTGAATGCATCTTCTTGCCTGAAAGTGGGAGATATAGGTTGTCATCTAAAGGATACCACATCAAGTCATCAACAGAAGCAAATGTGGCTCAGATGAGCAAAACCATGTGATATACCATCTTGTTGCTCGTGAGAAAATTGGAACCCCAATATGTCTCCATCTAATGTGAACCTACAAGACCTGATCCGCTCCACTCTCTCACTCCACGCCTTCCAAGAGTGCCCACTATGTTCACCAGCAGTCAACCAATCCCCTGGTGTAGCCCTTTTGGTCTTCTGCGGTCCTGAGTTTTCCAGACCCTTGTCCTTACCCACATCTTTGGCACCTCCAGATTTCTCCTTTCCCTGCCGCCTCAGCATCTCCACCAATGCAGGGTTCAGCTTATTTACAATATCTGCTTGGGCCTCTGCAATCTCCCCTGCAGACATCCCAGCCAACCTAGCCATGTTCTCTGCATTGATCTCTGCTTCCATCGATGACTCCCTGCCGTCCAGGTCCATACTCTCTGCTTGTGATGCCGAATTCCTAACCTCACCTGCCTTCACCAACTCATCTCTCGATTCAGCCTGACTCATCGGCTTCTTGGACACCACATCAGAAACCGAAAGCACGGCACCTGGTCTTTCCCTAGTATTCCCACTGTCAAGCCGCATAGCACCTCCCACCAATTCTCCACTGTCAAGCCGCATAGCACCTCCCTCCAATCCTCTCCACGTAGCTGCCACACCACCTACCTTAGAAGCCACAGCCCCAGCATCAATTCTCTGATCGCTCTGTTTCTTGGCCTGCACTGGCTTCCCCTGCCTCCGTTTGGGGGGAGCATCGCCAACAAACTCACACCACCGGCTAAAATCCATGCCCTTCTTCTCCTTCCTTCTCACAGGACCAGCTGCATCAGCAGCCACAGGATGGTAGTCTGTCTCGTCCAAGTCCATCTCGTCTTCGTCGTCCGCAGCCCCGTCCTTGGGGGCGTTCTTCGCCACGGGACCCCAGTGCTGCGAAACGGGGAAGTAGTAGTTGGTCAGCGGGGAGTATACAATCAAAAAGCAACAAAGCAAATCGAGGTTAGGGGGTTAGGGGCCTAGGGTTTGGGAGGGCGGCGGCGGCTTACGGGGCCGTGGAAGCGGTGGCGAGTGACGGGGAAGGGGAGGACGGAGGGGCGGGGCGCGGAGGAGGACGCGGCGGCAGAGAAGCCCTTCTCGACGATGGCGCCGACGAGGCGGGACGGGGCCGCCGCCGCCGCCGCGGCAGGTGTAGGGAGTGCGGGGTGGAAGGGCTCCTGCACGACCTTACGGCGTGTCGGGTGCGCGCCGCCGGGCTGGTTCCGCCGCTTCGTCGGCGCGTCCATCGGGGAAGAGAGGGGATGGGACGGGAGCGGAGCGCTGCGTGGCGGTGTGCAGCGAGAGGGGTTTAAGGGGCTCTGGTCTGCGCGTGTCGCCCGTCAAGTTGTTAAAGGTCAAAGGACAAATACAGGGGTGGGATACGATATCATAACCCAATAGCTGTACAACTGTTCATCAGATTGGGATACAGAGGGTTTAGTTTTGGATAGGATGGCCTCTCGTCCCACCAAATCAATCCAGTGGGGAGGGTGGATTGAGGGTGGATCACGGAGGGTGGATCACGGAAGGGATATCACTGTAGCATCGAGATTGGAGCAGCGAGGGGAGCCCCGAACCAGAGGCGAGCAGCTCGATTCCGACGGGGTGGAGATCGATCTGGCGACTTACAGCTCGATCCAGGCCCAAGTTAGCCATCTTCATTGAAATCGACGGCCGCGAGGAGGCGAGCTCCCGCCTCCCTGGTTTGCCTCTGTCCACGCATATGAAGGTGGTCCCCACAGGTTGCGACAGAGGCTTGCCCGTGTAGCCTGAAGCTCGTCGTTAGGCGCCCGATACCCGACAGAGGCTTGCCCGTGTAGCCTGAAGCTCGTCGTTAGGCGCCCGATACCCATCTCTCTGCTGCTACTCGCTGGCCGTGAGGGGGCGATGCTTGTTACTCACTGGCGCCTGGCGGTGCTCTCGTGTGTGTAGTGCCGGTCCTAAGATTTTGAGGGTCCTCTGGCGAACTCATCGTGACGGCCCCTCTAGACTATATATTAATCTTATAATATATATAAGCGTTATTTTTTTTCAAAGCGAAAACAAATCTAGTGATATATTTTTAATTTAACATGTTTGATAATTATTGAGGAACAATGTAGACTAAAACTAATACGATTACCTAAAGGAAGAATAGAACTCCATAATATCCATTACTTCTCATAAAAAATAGAAGCTTCTTGCTCATCGTCAATTGAATTTTCAGGTTGAGAGGAAGGCTGTAAATTTTCATTCTCTGTAGCATCATCAATGTCATTAACTTGTTTACTTAAATTATCATTAACTTGTTCCTGTTGCTGCTCTTGTTCTTCAATATCAAGTGCATCTACATGATTATCATGAGGCACAACACTGCTTGAAGCTGAAAAAAACTTATGTATAGCACCTTTTTGAGATTTAATAAATTGATCTTCTATTCTTTTCCGTTTTCTTTTCTGAGACTCCGACAAATGTTTCTTAGGTAACATTTTAAGTTTCTGACACCTAAATTAGAAGAAAAAACACGACTATATGAGTATCGAATACTAGAAGTCCGAAGTAATTAATTTAGATTAAAAAATGATCAAGGAAAAAATACCTAGATCGTTGCCTTGCCGTCGTCTGCGTCCTGTACCCGCCTACGGCCTACCTGGCGGAGTTGTACCGGACAACCACGGGACAGCCGGACGGGAGCCACAGTGCCTGTGCCGCATGCGCGGTGTCGGCGAGACGGATCACAGACGGCGATTCGCATTCACCCTTCGGTGGCGCGGGTGTTCGGCCGTTCGCGTAGGGTCCTAGGCGTCGGGCGAGCGTTCGCGTAGATGTGTTACACATAGTATACCTAAAGGCTAAGAGGCATGCAATACTGAGGGCCTATATACGTGGGGTCCTGGGCTGCCCCCCCCCCTGTCGTGGGCCCTAGGTCATCGCACCTAGTGCACCCTTGCAGGCCCGGCACTGCGTGTGTGCTTGGTGCCTGTGTGATGTGGGTAGGAGATGACCAGCGCTCCTTTTATTTTTTCTTTAAAAAAAGCATGTGGGCCTAGTATAACCCAAACCCAAACCTTGTTGCATCCAAAGGTTGGATTAGCATTTAATTTGTATTTCCAAATCCATAACCCACCCCATATCCTACTCAATTTCCCTATTCCTATCCCTACTTGCATCCAAACGCCACCTCAATGGTTCTGTTGTTGCCGAGCTTCTCATCTTCAGCATTAGCAAGGTTTCCTGAGTCTGTTTGGCTCCAATATGAGTTACCAAAAAGCTACTGTTACTATAACAAAAAAAAAGCTATTGTGATCTATATTTATGCCGCCAAAAAATTGTAAGTTATGAACCATTAGCACTAAAATATAGTAATAGTGAATCCAAACAGACCTACTAATAACATGCTAATTATTAGCTAGAGGTTGCTAACTATTAATTCTATTAGTAGGTTTAATGTTGTTAATAGGTGCTAATAGTTCATATACACCTTTAGCTCCTAACCACCGATTAGCAGGTAAATCCAAACAACCGACTACTAAAAAATAGCAGGTAGCATATATTAGTTAGCTAATTTTTAGTCCTAATCTATATCTATTCTATTTTGGAAGGAATTGAAAAATAGTTGTCACCCAAAATTTCATACCCACCCTATATTAGCACCGTTAGATAAATAATTGTATTTAGATTTAATGATACACGTTAATCTAACTGTAAGCCATGTCCATCTTACATCCTACCTTACGCGTTCCTGCCATGGAATCTTACACCCGTGTATTCTAATATATCAAAGCAAGTTACTTTGGCCGCCTCTCAGGGTGTCCACGTTGCCCTGAATTCTCCTGGCCGTCCGATCCTCCATCGTGTGGCCTAGATTGCTTGTAGCCGCTTCTGTTGGAATCAGCTTCTGCCGGCTCCTCGTCGCTCTGGGTTCATTTTGCTAGCTTCTACGCCTTGTCATGCGAATCTGGTGGAACAAATATATACTCGGCTCTAGCTTCTCCTTGCAGATTCTTCCCTCCTCTCTCTCCCCGTCGGTCTCTCCTCTTAGTCCCGAAGCAGGGCGCGAGGCGCCAGCGCGAGCCGGCGCAGCTGCAACAACCGCCTCCCCTCCTCCTCCTCCGCCTCCCTCACCGCCTCTCACCTCTGTTTCTCCTCCTCCTCTCTCTCCCCTTCCTCCCGATGCTACTGGCCTTGGGAGGCGGCGGCAGTGCCAAGCGACAGCACCCCCTCACGGCCGATCAAGGCCATCTGGGAGGGGCTCGGTGGCCCCCTTCCTCTCCCCCATCCTTCGTGCGGCCGCCTATATGCCTCCTCCCGCTGGGTAGCTTGTGCTCCTTTGCTCGACAAAACCTTAGGTGCCTGTGTGGCGATGACAGTGGCGGTGAAGCTCGGCGACTGGATTTGACGGTGACTCACCCTCTTCTTCTCCTCCTTCGTCCCATGGTTCCTCCCCCAGATCCTCTCTCCCTCGCGTTTTTTGGAGCGGCAGATCCTCACAAGAATTTCTATGGCAATTGAGAACAATAGATTCTAAAGCTTTTGCTGATTTTATTCCCTTTAGTATTTTATTTGCTATTACCTGAATTAAAATTTGCTGGTTTGTTCAAAATAATACCTCTAGGTTAGCAAAAATGGTTACATATACAATCTTGATATATTACTGTGCATTGATTCGTCATCTCCTCGTAATGGATTGTGTCCATTCATTGAAAGAGCAGGAAGGCCAGTGACCTTTTTATGCCATTTTTTCCCTTGTGTGATTTACGATACTGATTGGTTAGTGCATATGTCCATGTCCTCCTTCCAGGAGATTCCTGTTTAACTGGAACCAATGAGTTTCCAGAAAGAATGATGCTCTATTTTTAATGTCATGCCAGTTTTATCTCTATCTATACTGATGGACTCAATTTTCTTTGTTTCCTGATGTTTCCTGATGTGCATACCATTTTTGATCTAGACATTTTTACTGAGTGTAGTTACATAATGCTTAAATCTAGATGAGTTCTTGGTTCTCACATTGGTATTGCTAGCTACTTCTGCAATTGTTATTTAGCCTGGTTCAGCAAGACCATGTCACAGAGAAGAAAGAAGAAGAAACCATATGCCTCAATGCATTTTAACTGATTTTAAGGTCAGCGGACCTAAATCTTGGAATGTTCAAATTGCAATGTCTGTAAAGCTTAGGTTGCCATGTTTTTCTAAGGACATACAAGCATGGCTCTTACATGCATTTGATATATGTAGGTTGGTGTCCCCCCCTCCCCAAGCATGAACTGGTGCAGGTGCTCCGCGCAGAACCGCTGATCGTTGTTTCGTCAGCTCGCAGGTTCGCTTCCTCTCCCGCTCCCCCTTTCTCCTTACCTCTCCTTGCCGGACTTGCCTCTCCCAATGCTCTCAGTCCTCATGGAAGCGGTCTTCCTGACACCTTTGTGCTTTTCCTTTTTTTCTTTGATTATCTTCAATTTGATATACGATTATAGTTGCTCATGGTTTATTGATATACGATATGGCTCACAGTTTTTTGTAAATTCGATATACGATTATAGTTGCTCTTAATGTTAAAAAAAGGTCTGTGGCATTTTCATATCGTCTTGCCAAAAAAGTGTCTGCTTAAATCTCTTAGGTATTTTTTCGTTCGGTTTTACGGTAACTGCTGAACAAATTTCTTATTGCATCTTGATTAGCCTTCCTAGTCAATTCTCCTACACATCAGGTTAAGATTTGCGATTTTGGGACTGCTAGCAGATTGGTACACTTCTCTCTTTTAGTTTATTCCTGCTGAATATGTTCATGGGTTTAATAAAGTGAAATATCCATTTCAATTCCATGGCGAGCCTAACATATCGTACATTTGCTCGCGGTATTATAGGGCGCCTGAACTAATATTTGGAGCTACGGAGTATTACTGCTGCGATTGATATTTGCTCTATTGGTTGTGTATTGGCTGACCTTCTAATTGGTCTAGTGACGTTGCCTTCAAGACCTTATGCATCGAAATAAAATGATATAGTTTTAGACTATCTGAATTGGTGGCCTCAGAACAAAATGGTGGAAATCAAGGTACGTGTCGGTGCAGAAAATGACCAACACATAAATATTTGTAGTTTTGCTGTACATTGTGATCGGATGTGGCCTAGCACTCAATGACATAGGGTTTATACTGGTTCAGGCAACGTGCCCTACGTCCAGTTTGAGTCGGTCGGTGACTTTATTCCTGAGCCCAAGTGCTTGAAGTTTGTTGTGTGGTTACAAACGGAATGGAGAAAGATGGGGG